CGCCTTCCCCGCGGGGGTGCGGGGGGTATTCATTTATTTTTCCATTCTTCCCCCATTTATTTATTTATTTATTTATTTATTTATCTATCTCTTTCTTTGGAGCTATCAGCGGGTGGCTGTGCTCCTGCCAGGAAGGCTTCCTGGCCTCCTCCTGCGTGTGGAGAGGATGGGTTGTGGGGAGGAAAAAGAAAAGGAAAAAAAGCCTTGAATTAAAAGGTGACCTAGGTCGCTTAAAATATTTATGTAAAGTTTTAAAAAAAATGCAAATCTCTGTTTGTTTTCCTTGTACTTCACAAAGACATTGCTCTTGTGGTCTGACTCACTGAGTCTTAGCCCACATCTCCAGACATTACGGGAAACTAGATCTGAGCGGTTGGAAGGCAGCCCTCTTTCCCCTGTGTGCATTAACATTTTTGAAAGGTCTGTTTAAATGCTGGTGAAACGTTTGAATTTGGCTCTTCAGTCGTCCAGCCTGGCATGTCCGGTAAATAATGGGTGAAGGTGACTGTGGGAGCCGAGCGTTTTGCTTGCCTTAAGTCAGCAGACATTGTGCTCCGTGCTCTAGAGCTGTTGAGCCCCAGGAAACTGGGCATCTGGCATGTCAGGTAGAAGTGCTGTTAATCTAGAAATATTACTTTGGAAAAGAGGTAAACACTGTATTTCTCCTTTACCGTGTGTATAGAAGCAATTAGTGCAAATGGAGAGAAAACTGGTAAAATTAATAGAACTCAGTGCCTCTGGTGTGTCCTTTTATACTAGCAGTTAAATAAACAGCCGAGAGCCTAACTTGGAGGCACTTTTTATTTTTTTCTCTACATAGTGCCATAGCTGTGCAGTGCTTTGGTTTTGTGTGCTTGTCTCTTACTCAGCAGGATTATTCTGAATTTCTAGAAGGTCAGAAGAGGTGGCTCTTGCATGGATCTGTACAGTATAACCTGTATTGAAATACAGGCTAGAATAATGTCCTAAAAATCTAGGAAGAGTACAGTATGTCCTACTCTGTGTTAGAGAGGAAATTGGTAAGTAATATGACAACTGTGAAAGTTTCTTATTTTGAAGACAGCCACATGTCAGTGTTTCGGAGGTTAGTAATCCTTTGTGTTAAGCCAGTAATTAATGGTCTGCAATAGACTGCTCTTTCTACACTCCTTTTTTGCTGGAGATCTCCAGTCTGATCAGGTGTGGGAAGGCAGCTTGTGGCTCTCCATGGCCTTTGTGCCTGAGGTGCTGATGAAACAGTCCGACTAGGGACATCCCTCTATCAAGAAATCTTTATGGGATCTGTGTTGGCTCTAAGGAAGCTTAAAGCCTGCAGGCCAAGAATTGTATTTAAATGTCTTAATCTGTAAACTGAAGCCAGTCAAAGTATCTAGCTCCTACGATCACCCTACTTACTACTCTAGTGGTCAGCAGAAATAACTGAGAGGTGATTTTATTTTTTTCTGACCCATTTTTACTGTCTCTGACTTGTTAAATGAAAACGGACCAATCCAGGGGGTACATTCATCCAGTGTGTTGGAAAATACTGTTTCAAAACTACTCTTGGTAGCTATTCTCTGGCAGCAGCTTTTCCTAAACTCTTGCAGTCCCTGATCCAGTCCCTCTCAACAGTTGAAAGCTGAGTGTGCATCCAAAACTCAGCCTGTTTTCTCTCAACTTTCTATTTCAGAGCTGCAATAGACTGCTTCTCTTGCTGTAGTTGAATGGATATTAGCACTTAGTAGCATTGGAATGAGTCTGCCTTTTACTGCCTTAACCTGAAGCTCAAGGTTCTGGCTGCAGTCAGTGAGATTCAGGACAGACTGTTTGCGTGTGACAGGAACACCCGAAGCACTCTTGAGGAAGACGGAGCTGTGCAGGTATGCTTGTGTTGCCTTCCCTCTCTCTGCTGTGGGATGCTTGTGTGAGCCTGTGGGATTTTTGTTTTAATTTCTTCCCTTCCTGATGGGCCTGTTCCCTTGCTTTACCCTTTGGGAAGGGTGCAAAGGAATGGGGCAAAGATTCCGAAGGAAATCCCTGCAGCTGGTAGCTAATATCCACCTGCACGTGATTCTGGAAAGCTGCTGAGGACAGGACACAAGCTGATAGCCTGTGCCTCTGGCTTTCCCGGTGGGACAGTGAGTCTCTGCAAGCTGCTCTGACATGGCTGCCTGCAGTGGATGAGGCTTGTAAGTACAACCTTGCTGTTGGGAAATAGGTTTTATTATCTTCAGCTTGTCTTGAGCCACAACATTTGCACATTTTTAGACATGAGTTAACTTGAAATACTGTGCTTCCAAGGGACCACTGCCCTTAGCTGTAAGGGAATTTGGTTCTAAAAAGATGACCTAGAGGACCCTCTGAGGGAAAACTCTCTCATAAGAATCAAATGCAAGTTTTGGGAAGCTGGAACCTGTTATGTTTTCCATTGCATGGGAGAACCTGTCAGTTTAATTTGGTTTTCATCCAAATCAAATGACAGTTGGTTGAGTTAATTCAAATTTTAAAGGTAAGTAATTGTTTTCTTCAATATTTATGCCACAGCCATTAGGTTCAGCTGAGAAACATTTTGTGTGAATTGAAGTTCTCATCCGTTTCAGTGTTCAGTGCATAGGGGTGTCTTGACCTTGTTTCTTTCAGGTTTCTTGTAATGTTTTGGTACACCTGTGGCCATATTAGAATATAGTTAATTATTATAAAGTGGATGAGTTTTTGATAAGACTTGAGCAGAGCAACAGTTGTCCTGTCCCTTTAGAAGCCGAATAGCATGATTAGGTATTACTGAAGGTTAGTATGCAAGGAAGCTGTTTTGGAATAGGAGTTCTTCAGAGAATATGTGTCTGGTTAATCTTTATAGTAAGTTCAGAAGTCAGTGACTTCAGAATATCACATGACCTGTGAATAAGCCATCTGCTCCTGAGGCTCTAGCATCTTGTTTTGAAGAAATTTAGTATATGTTGCAAAAAAGTCATATTGGCTAGTAAAATATTCAGTGGACAGGTGTTTTTCTGGATGTCTATTTAAGTATTTGAACTGTATATTTCCTACTGTTTTCTAAAGATTTTATAGCTCAAACCTCAGTTTTCGTTTGAGAGGCTTTGGAAAGTTATGTGTGAATATATGAAATTGTAGACAGCTTTTTTCTTTTCTTTCTTTTTTTTTTTTTTTGTTAAATTGAATGGTTTTACTTTAGCTTTGGTTTTAATTATGTTCGAATATGCATCAAAGGAGCCCCAGATGTATGTGAATAAAATATTTATTTATTGGCATCTTTAATCATGGTTGGTTAGGCTGTCTTGGAAATGATAATTCTGCTGTAGTACTAGAGGATATGTTGTGTCAGACAGAAGTGAGGGGCACTCGCGTAAGAGGAGGTGAGACCTTGGGTTACTGGGTCGGTGCTGAACATTAGTGAGTGACTACTGCATTCATAACAAGCTCAAAATGCTACTGAAATCCCATTGATTTTATTATCGATAATGCAGGCTCTTGTTTTGATAGGAACTGTACTGGTTCCCTCTTATCATTTGGCATAATCTAAGTGGCATTTCAGGACAGCTCTAGAAATCTGCCTGCTACCTTAAGACTAGCTGACTGGCTGGATAACGTAGTGCTTAAAATGCACATGTGCAAAATCTTTATTTCTTTATCCTCCAAGCTAATGGTGTGTTATTGCTGGTCACTAAAAACTTACTTTTCTTGAAAGTTTGTCCGCTGCCAGTTTGACTTCCAATTTGTGCAGTTCATTATACTGTTTATGTGCAGATTTTCTTGATTTGCTGAGTTTATATATTTGTTGAAGCAATTCTATTATCTCTGATATTAAGTTACAAGAAGAAGAATGTCTGTTGATAGGCTTACAGTTAAAAGTGTGTCTCTTAAAGCTTTTTTTGTATTTATATACAACATGAGCAGTGCTAATCATGACTTAGGAGTTTTATTCTGGATGTGGATGTTATTTATTTTTACAAGCACTGATGAGTGGAGTCAATGTCTATTGTATTTGGACAATCTCAAAATTCTAAACGCCATCAGGGGAACAAAAACCTCTGTTTCAGTTTTTTTTCTTCTATATGGATGATTTTTCTTCTGAAGTCATTATTGAAATACTAAACTTCGTATTTTTTTCCCACATCTTCAAAGGTGTTCTTCCATCACTTGTTTTCTGCTGAAATGGTGTGCCTGATATATGGGAGTGTTAAATACAAAGAAAAAAAGGTTTGCTATAAAGAAGAAAGGTCTTCTGTTCCATGGTGTATATGGTGCTTTTCATCTCACTGGTTGCAGGGCTTAAACTATTTTAATGCCAGATTTCCCTTTACTAAAATAATGTGTCTGTGTATGTATATATTTGCTATATTCCAGTAGACTTTAGTTGTAAATCTGTCTGCAGGTTGGACTCTTTTTTTTTTTTTTTTTTCTCTCCCCTCCCCTTCTTTCTCTGTCTTGTGTCCCAAGCTTTGAAATAAGTTTCGTAGTGAATACTTTTGGACCAAACACCTGGGAGAATGTTAGACTAATTGACTTCAAATCCTGTGGAGAATTCAGGCAGATGAAGACATACGTGGTAAATCTTGCATGTGAAACTAACAAAGTTTTTGTTCGCCTCTATGCGTTTGCATTTGAGTGAGAAGAGATCCTCCTGTTTGGTATAGTATTCTTGATACTTTCTGATAACAAGGTTTAAAAACCTTTGCTTATCCTTCAATTTACATCCACTTCTGAGACCGTTTTTTGGAATGTTAGGTTACCATGAAACTGTAGTTGGTATCGAAGTGGAACTATCATACTAGGAAGTTATTTTAGGATTCTGGTGCTGGCTTTGTGCTTCAGAACATGTCACTGTTGCCAGAAGAGTGTCTAGGCAAAGTCATCTGCCACAGAGTGTCATTGTTTGTATTCCTTTGGGTAGGGAGCACTGGAAGTTTGCATTGACAGAGGATCACTAAATCACTAAAGAGAAATTTGGCACAATCCATTAAGAGTCATAGATGCTTTCTCAGTCTTTGGAATTATATTTTAATTTAGTTGTGAGATGAAAATGACAGATTTGAGCATAAGCAGTTTTTCACTTAAATTAAAACTGTTGCTGTTTATGCCTAGTTTTGATTTCGTATGAAAGTTGAAAATGCAAATCTATGTAGGAATAAAGAGTTACAAAATCGGCAAGAAGAAATACTTGATCACTGTCTTCTACAAAGATGCAGCAGAAGTGTTTTAGTGGTTTTTAGTACTGGCTGTGATTTCGCTCAGTCTGTACTCAGACTCATGGAATTCAGTGATGTATTTGAAGAGGCCAAAATATTCTAGAAAGTGAAGATACCAGTGGCTTGTTAGGAAAGAAAGAAATGAGGTTTCTGCATTTGTTTCTTTCCAAAAACTGTAGCAAGGTCAGCTCCCAGGGAGAGAGAGATTTAATTGGTTTCCTTCCTTAAAAGGAATACATAGATGAAAACATACCAGATAGAACTTTTTAAAGGTTTTCAACTTTAACTTTGAGTTTGAATCTTTTAAAGAGAACTTGTGAGAGATCTTAAGCTTTTCTGATATTATGTATGGCTTCTTGTAACATTCTAACAGTAACTTCTTGTTGATAGAAATGTTTTTTTTTTCTTTTCTCTCTGCCTGTCTGAAGCAGTTTTAATTCAAAGGCATTGAGCCAATTGCTTTTTTTTTTTTTCGCCATGACCTTTCTAGTTCAAAATGTCTAGCTTTAAATGGCAAGCTTAATATGGCCCCAAACATTAGGACATGGTCTGCTTCCTAACTAAAATTGGATTGAATGTACTTTTAACTACTACTCCTTTCCACTTTCCATCTGGAAAAGAGTCTTAAACAAAACAGCTGTAAGTGATTAGTATCACCTTCTCACCTATCTCTATCCCTATTGACAGCTTTAGTGTGCCTCTGAACTTCAAAGTTGTATGTAGATTTCAAGAAAGAAGCAAGGGTCTTTTTTTTTTTTTTTTTTTTTTTTTTTCCTCCTCTCCTTTTTTAAGGCTGGGTTTGCCTTTAAGGTAGAGGTTAAGCTTGCTGGTAGGAATTTGGCTTGAGGAGATATGACCTCTAGCACAATATGTTTCTCAATGCTGTTTTTGTGTTACCTTTACCCTGCATGAGGTAAGGGCTTCCAGGTACTTCTGAGCCCACAACAGGTGGTGCCAGCAGGCTTTACAATGCAAAGTTTTTCAGCTCACAGCTTCATGCTTATGGTAGCATGCAACTTGCCTACCATCTTGAGCAACCAGTGGGTGGTTTGGGTGCCAGCACTGGATATGTGAAGGCTCTGGCAGTATGAAACTTAGCATGGGGTAGTGGATGGCAGTGCTTTCAGAGAAACTGCGTGCAACGGTCACTGCTTTTCCAAGAAATTTGTTGATCTTTGGTTGCTAAAGCAAAACTAAATTGATCAGTTAGTTGGCTTGTAGGTGACAATCATAGAATTAAAACTTTCATCAAGGTTTAGATCTTCTGAGCCACATGAGTAAGATTTCTTTTCATTTTTTTTTCTCTGCAGTTACTAATTTTGAAATAATTGCGAATCAGTTATGGATTCTAAAACTTAAGTTAAATAGTATGTTTCTTTCCAGTGGACATTTGGATTCTTATTAGTGAGAAGTGGCAAAGCTTGTCCCATTCCAAAAGACATGGCAAGTGGGAGAAAAATGTGTGGAAGCAAGTGACTAAAATTAGTTCTGAGAAAAGAAGTGACAGGAAGATCTATTTAAAGGTAGATAAGCTGCTTTTTCTGAGTGGTGATGATGACTTTGTCTAACTTTCTCTTACTGGTAACTCATCATGTCAATTTATCTGTATAAAGTTTGAGGTCTGTAAAAATGTATAAATATATTTTTAACATATATGTGGTAGTTTTTTCTGTCTTCTAGATGTTGCATTCTGTATTATAGACTTCCCAATGACAAGTGACTTTTTACATGCCTGTTTGAATGGACAGAACAACTTTTAAAAAAAGACCTTAATGTCAGGACTTAGGCTGTGCGTTTTCCTCAAGTGAAGTCTGAATTCCAAGCAGTATTTTGTTTGTATCAATGGAAAAAATGTGATAAATTTTGGCTGTCTTGAGCAGAAGTACAAGAAGGGAGGAGGAGAATCTGCAGCTGTTAGAACATGTTTTAGTTTTACTCAAAACTAAACTGTTTACTCAAAACTGTTTAAAACAGTATTTTGAAAGAACGCTTAATCATGCAAATGACCATTTCAGGTGATTTCTCGAAATTGTACTTTATTTCTTAGCAGTTTAGCCTAGGCTTTAAAGTAAATAAAGCCATAAGCTCTTGTTCACATCTCAGTGTTGGAAACAAGGTTAATTAGCACACGCTGTGCAGAAATATTTTGCTGACCAAATGGCCCGTGGTGCGAAGGAGTTGCTGTTCGGGGGGTGGGTGAGCTGGCTGCTGTGGGCGCTGCTGTGCCCGCTTGGCGAGTCAAGTTCGCAAATCGCACGCATGCGCCTCGGGCCTCTGCCCTTTCCCCTACT